GGAGAGGAGGGTGGGCTGGGGGGGTGTCAGAGGAGGGGGGGCTGATTTGGACAGGGGAGAAGGGTGGGCTGATGAGGGGCAGCAGCCGTTCCTCTGAACAGCAACAGCACTCAAGCATAGCCCAGCAGCAGAGCTGCCAAATTTCCACTGCGGAAGAGACAGAAATTTTCTCTTTGAGCCTGGGAGCCACTGCCTAAATCGTGCTGTTGGCCATGGAGGAACTAATTCACAAGTGCTGTGTCCCCCACAGCCCCCCACCTTCTCCTGTGCACTCTCCTCACAGTACGAGCAGGATCCTCTGTCCCTGCAGCTCCCAGCCCGCTCCACCCTGGCACTGGAATGCACAGCTTTGCTCCCAAGCCATCCTTCTTCACCCCTGTTTATTTTCTTATTTGTTTATTACAACTCAGATAAGTGTTTGGGGACATATGGAGTAAATAAACTACAAAATCAAGCTGAACTACAACAATAAAAGGACAACAAATGTTGAAGAAACGGAGAAAGGATGACGCAGAGACGCATTATGGAAACCACAGTGTGGAAAACGTGGCATGACAGGAGATAAAACAAGGAACCCCATAAATGGCAAACAGGGAGAGAGGCATTAACAAACCGTATGAGTTCTACCTTCTGAGTGAGTGATTTAAATCCACTTTTTGTGAGAGCAGGATGAAAGGCACTGGGTGAAACACAAGAGAGACCTGCCAGAGGCTCACCAGCAGGAGAAGAGCAGGATCAAACCCACATTTTCACTGCAACAAGGAAAAAGCCACACGCAGAAGAACACCACCAGTAAACTTAAAAATTGCAGGAAATACAGGGGAAAAAATCAGTGCAGACAGTACACAAGGTTTGGCTGCACCAAATTGCAAATCACGAAAGTAGACACACGTTGATGCTGCTCAGGATTATCTAATTGCAACTTTTGCCACGGAGTAGGAACACCTTCAAACCCACCTCGCTGGTGGATGCCTGTTCTTACCGAGCAGGACGTTTTTCTTAACACACTTTTAAACACCACCAAAAATAAATAAATAAAAAAAACAACAAACATCTTAATTTTAAAAAAGGTAAATTTCCCAGCCATGGGAACAGCACTCAGACCTCTCTGAAGCTTCAGGGAGGAGGACAATAAACAACCCAGTCCTCTTGAACACCGGAGCCCATTCTGCTGACAGAACACCACAGAATTGCCTCCTTGTTCATGCTCAAACTATAGCTAAAGTTGCTTAAGGGACTGGTCCCTTCCATAGGTCGAATGAATCTCATTGGCAAAATATTTATCTAGCACCTCATTTGGGCCTTTTTCCCCCTCCAGAGTTTCTTACAAAAGAGAAACGCAGCCTTGTTTTTGCTGGGATACGGCTTCCTACAAGAATGACATTCCAGGCTGTCTCAGTTTTTTTCTAGGAACAGCAGTAGAACTATTTTGCCTCTGTGGCCTGGACACTACTGCACAGATACTCCACTGCCTGTGGGTTTACCTGAATTGGAGTTTAATTTAAATTAGACTTTTTTTCTCCCTGATAGCTTTTGAAGACACCTCAAGCCTTGAAAAGGCTTTTCCTGCATCACATAATCATACCAAAATCCACTGATCGTTGCTGACTCTTGAAATTTAAACTATCACAGACTGCAGGTTCAGGAACGTGCATAAAATCATAAGATCTGTTTATTTTAAGGTTTGGTTGGGTGAAGTCACCGGCTGGGCAGTGCAAACCCAGGGCTCACTGCCAAATCCACGAAAAACCCCGCCGGGTTTGGGATGAAAGTTCTGACCCCCAAACCCAGGGCCTGGCGACAGCAGAGCTCCTCTGATCCCAGCCTCTCCTTCTCACCCAGGCACAAACAGTATTCCATGCTAACGAAGGAAAAATAAGGAAGTCTCGTCTTTGTACATCAGGATTCTAATTTCCACTTCAAACCTCCCACAACACCAGAGACGCGTCAGAAAGAACCAATATTTGCACGGGAAAGTCAGAAACCCTTGATGAGCTTTATTTCCAGCTGAGGAACGAGAGAAGCGACGAAAAGCTCACGAAACAGCTCAGGCTGAAATAAATGTGAACAAAATCCGGTAAGGCTGAGAGCAGAGCACTTGGAAAGAGACGGATCAGAGCGTTCCTGGGATGGAGGAGCTCAGAAGTGCAAATGCTGCCACTCGAAGCGTGTTGCTCCTCGAGCTCCGTTGTTTAAGCTGCGCACTGCGGATTATTTGAAAACAACAGCCTTTGCTCCTGGTTCCAGCCAGGCTTTGTGTTACACTTCAAGAACCCGACTCTGGCCATGGGAAGGGGCCAATATGCCCAGTCCCTGCCTGGAGACTGCTCCCAGCGAGGTATGTGGTGTCTGGGAGCTGCAGAGCTGATTTCCTTAGTGATTCTTTGGACGGGGCATTTCTCTGGGCTCCTGGTAACGGTGCTGCCGCAGCTGGCATTTATTTCCCCAAAGCTGCTCCGCCTAAAACACTGGACACGGGGGGAATTCATCCCTAGGCCTTACTTCTACAGCTAGAGGAAGGGAATGGCACTGCTGAGTGCAGCTGTGAGCACACACGCCACAGAGTCCGGGAGCTTTGGCACTGGGAATTTTCTGAACGTCGGCCTTCTTAAAGGCTGCCTTCATTTCAGAGTAATTAATTTAAAAAAAAAAAAAAGGTTTTGTTGAGATATTAAAAGAAAAACATTTCCTCTAATGAGAGACTAGACAGCAGTCATTAAAAATGTTATTTATCTGTCAGTGTTCAATAAAGGGAACATGAAATTAACAGACAAAGCCACTTGTGTAACCTCACTGTGCCATGAGCCAGAGCCCCTGTCTCCCCAACAGAAATGAATCTGTAAATCCTTCACAGTAATAACAAAGGTGTAAGTACACCTGCCTTCTTTGCCAACAGCAGGAGTCAAACAGGGCAGTAAATTTAAAGGAAACCCCCTTCAGCACATCTTCCACCAGCCATGAGAACGGGACCAGCACACATTTTCAGCTGACTGTACACACAAGATGATGTGCTGCCTGACTCCGTGGTCGCAGTTCCAAAGACACCCATCCCACAGCTCCTCCCTTCCACACTGCTCTCCACAGTGCCATACACAAACACTTCTCCCCCAGAGTCAGAGGAAGATCAGTGACACCACCCATTGCTTCAGCTGGTTTCCCTGTCCCATGTTTTGCTGACCTGCAGGAGCTTTATGTCCAGCTTCCATTTGTCATTGCACAACAGCATCTAATCCAAAACGTTTTGAGAGCTTTTACAACTCAGCGCCTCTGAACAACAATAACAAAAAGCCAAACGAAGGACAGATCAGCACAGCCTTCAGGAGGCTGCTCTACAGTGACCAGCGATGCGCTGGCACATTCCACCCCTGTCATAGCCTCGGGAGCTGCAGTCCCCCATCTCTAACCAACAACAGATAACACAAACCCAGAAACTCCTTAATAAAAACCAGTCTTTCCCAGATAGGGACTTTTTGCAACAAACAATGGCCGGTTTGTTTGGAAAAGTCTAAATATATCCTGTAAGAAAAGAGCTGGAAAATACCTTGCCTGCTGGATTTAGAGATGTGCATTTTCCTGAGTTTAGTCCAGACACATCCTGCAAAACCTACAATTTATGTTTACTGTGGCATTCCACAACTTCTACAGTATCTCTGAATTGACACTAAGAGGTGGAAACTTAGTTAAGAACACGGAAAGAGAAAAGCAGACCCTTAACGTAGTGAAATCCCAGCAGAAGTTAGTTCATGTGAGATTCATCTGCTGCACCGGGCCCCACAGCATCTCTTATTCAATCACTCAATGTTTTCTCTCATCAAGAACTGAAAAGTTGCTTCCCACAGAACACAAATTTAGGTTCAAACCCAAACTTCTCCCTTATGTCTGTTTTTGTGTCTTACAGTGACTTTACTTCAGTGACTATGCACGTGGACCACTCCAGTGCCCCTCCACGAAACATGCCTGATTGATCTTCCCAAAACAACAAAACCAGCATCTGGACACAAACACATCTGTCATCCCATCACAGTGCTTCCATGGACAAATGTTTATTTGAACTTGTTAGCTGGGTCCTTTGAATTTTCTGTTAACAGCGATTAACCCACATCCAACTGCTCATTCCCCCAACACCTTCCTCCTGCCATTGCCCCAGAACTCCCGAATTCAAACTCCGAGCACAGAACCTCCTGCATTCCCCCAGATACCAAATTCTGGGCAGAAAACCTCCTGCCATCCCCTAGAATCTCTGAATTCAAACTCTGGGCACAGAACCTCCAGAAATCAAAACTCCGAGCACAGAACCTCCTGCATTCCCCAGAAATCAAAACTCCGGGCACAGAACCTCCCTCTCCATCGCCCCGCGGCCCCGCCGGGCTGTCCCTTTCGGGACACACGGGGTTATCCCGCCTGGGTCTGGGCCGAACCCCAGGGAAGTGGCTCGGGCTGCGGGTCCGCGCATCCCTCGCGGGGGCTCCGCGGGCACCGAGCGGCGGCCGGACCGGGACGGTACCCGCGCTCTGTCCCGGTACCCGCGCTCTTGTCCCGGTACCCGCGCTCTTTCCCGGTACCCGCGCTCTTTCCCGGTACCCGCGCTCTTGTCCCGGTACCCGCGCTCCGTCCCGGTACCCGCGCTCCGTCCCGGTACCCGTGCTCCGTCCCGGTACCCGCACTCTTTCCCGGTACCCGCGCTCTTGTCCCGGTACCCGCGTTCCTCCCCCGTGCCCGCGCTCCGTCCCGGTACCCGCGCTCCGTCCCGGTACCCGCGCTCCGTCCCGGTACCCGCGCTCTTGTCCCGGTACCCGCGTTCTTGTCCCGGTACCCGCGCTCTTGTCCCGGTACCCGCATTCTTGTCCCGGTACCCGCATTCTTGTCCCGGTACCCGCGCTCCGTCCCGGTACCCGCGCTCCGTCCCGGTACCCGCGTTCCTCCCCCGTGCCCGCGCTCCGTCCCGGTACCCGCGTTCCTCCCCCGTGCCCGCGCTCCGTCCCGGTGCCCGCGGTACTCACAGCGCGGTGGCGGCGGCGGGCACGGCGGGCCCCGGGCGCTCCACGCCGCGGGCCGAGCAGTTGACGGCGCAGGCGGGCGCGGCGCAGGCACAGCCGGGGGCGCAGGGCCGGCAGGCGGGGTCCGGGCCGGCCGCGATGCCCCCGCACAGCAGCGAGCAGAGCAGGCACCAGCCCGGCAGCGGCAGCCGCGCCGCGGGGGCGCCATGTTTGCGCTGTGATCCAGTGTCTCCATTTCCCAAAGGCATCTCTCCCTACGGGCATGGCATGGCCCCGGCGCGCCGCTGCCCCGGGGCTCGGCCGGGCTCGGCCGGCTCAGCGCCCGCCCGCCATGGCCCGGCCCGCTGGGGCTCCGCTCGCCGCGCTGACAGCCCCGGCCCGGCCCGGCGCCGCTCGGCTCTGCTGCTCCGCCCGGCCCGCGGCCGCCCCCGCTCCGCCTCCCGCCCGGCGGAAACGCCGCGCTGCTCCAGCCCCGCTCCAGCCCCGCTCCAACCCGGCCGCCCCCGCTCCAGCCCCGCTCCAACCCGGCCGCAGCCCCGCTCCAGCCCCGCTCCAGCCCGGCCGCCCCCGCTCCAGCCCCGCTCCAGCCCGGCCGCCCCCGCTCCGCTCCCCGCCGGCCGGGGGGACGCGCGGGATCCCGGGGATCGGGACATCCCGGGCGCGGGGAGTCCCGGAGGCACGAGAGTCCCGTGGGGATGGGGTGTCCCGGGAGCAGGAGAATCCCCTGGGGAAGGGGTGTCGCAATGGGCGCGGGGATCTCGGGGGACAGAGGTGTCCCAGGAACAGGGAGATCCCTGCAGCAGAAGGTCTCGGGGGATGCGAATGTCCCCGACGGGGCAGAGGCATCCCTGGAGCAGGGGAATCCGTGGGGAAGGGGTGTCCCGGGGACAGGGGGATCCCTGGGGAAGGGGGTCCCGGAAGCAGGAGGATTCCGTGGGACACGGAGGTCCCAGGATGCAGGAACTTCCCGGGGAACACGAGCATCCTGAGGACAGAAGCATTCCGGGGAGCAGAGACATCCCGGAGAACACGGACATCCCGGGGAACAAGGATTATCCCGATGAGGGGCACCTCAGAAACTGGGCAGGGCAGACGATGCAGGATGGAATTGTGCTGGAGATGCCGGGGCGGGGGGAGGTCTCACAATGCCAGGGGGCTTCCCCGCCTGGGCACACAGGGCAGTGGACAGATGGGAGCACCAGCACCCACCTGAGCTCTTCCTGAAGGCACACAGTTCCCGTGGCTGGCACCCATTCCCAAGGGCTGTGGGATTCAGTAGGAGCTCAGGTTGTGGGGCACTTTACACACCTACAGTATAGCAGGTACCTTAGAAAGAGAGGAAGAACAACTCAGGTACTTTTCAGTACATTATTTTTTACCATTAAACAGCAAATCCATCAGGTTTCAGTGCCACTTAGACCCCACACTGGCCCAGGCACTGGCCATGCCTCACACCTGGTGATGTCAATCCCGTCATTCCACAGTGGCTCCTCGGGGATCTGAACTGCTTCTAGTTTAAAGTAATCAGAGGATATAACTAAAATAAAATCTCCATGCAATGAAAGGAAGCATCATTACACAGGGCATCTCCCCCAAACCAGCCCTAGCCCGTTTGGAAGCAGTGGGAGGTGTGACAGCTGATAATTTCACACCCTAATTTGCTGGTGTTTCACATGTGCCTCTTACAGTGTGATGGGATGTATGTGGCGAGGAGCTGCCGCCCAGACACTGCAGCAGGGACTGTGGCAGTAGGGCCCTGTCAGTCGGCAGGCTCAGGGACTCTGCCTGGCAGCTTTCAAGGGAGAAACCACAACAAAAACGGGATGGGAGAGAGACATGCTCACTGTCTGCAAGCATCTGAGGAGTGAGAGCAGCAGGGAGCAAGAGCAGAGGAAGGACTGGAGCCTCAGAGCCTGCTACCCCTGCTCTCCTCTGCTGAGAACAGACCTTGGGGGGAGGAGGGCCAGGGGGGCAGGTTTGCCTCTCTCAGTGGCAGTGACCTTGACTAAACCTCATCTCTCTGTGTAGAATGCCCTCACTGCGTCATTCCACAGGGACACACTCATGCTGGGGCCAGGTCATGAGTTTCAGCACGTGCCACTTGATGGCTGCAGTGGTCCTGCACACCCAGCTCCTGTGAGCACCAAAACACAAGCATTGTACCTCTACCTAAGAGAAAACAGGTTGGAAAAGACCTCCAAGATCCCCAAGTCCAACCTTTCCTCAGTCTTCACCTTGTCACCCAGCCCAGAGCACTGAGTGCCACATCAGCTGTTTCTTGAGCACCTCCAGGGATGGGGACTCCACCACCCCCCTGGGCAGTCCATTTCAGTGTTTAACAACCCTCTGCATGAAGAAATTCTTCCTAATGTCCAACATGAACCTCCCCTGGTGCAGCTTGAGGCCATTTCCTTTAGTCCTGTCAGTAGTTACCTAAAGAGGGTGACCCCCACCACGTTACTCCTCCAGAGCTGCTCATCACCTCCAGCTCTACCTGGTTGGCTTGATCCAGGATGGTCCTGATCCAACAGAGTCCACAAGCACCTCTGTGGATTTAAGTGTGTGATTGTCCTGCTGAAGCCCAAGGGGTGATGTTAACTGGGGCCTCGGCTTCCCATGTCCAAACTCTGAACAAACCTGAAATATAAAGCCTGACAGCATCTGATCCCACTCCTTGGCATGGTGCTTCATGTATGTGAGAATTTACTTTCCAAAAACATTTTGTGCCTTTTGGGCTTGAAATCTGCTTGAAAGACACATCATCCTCTGCATGATGTATTGTGCCCAAAATAGCCCTGCGGTTACTATTTCCTCATGTGACTACAATGTATTTATTTCCGCTCCCTCAAATGTGAATTGCTTTTTTTGGGTGGGATTTTTTTGCCTTCTGTACTGATGCCCATATTTTTTCAGATAACAGCAAGGAGAAAATATCCTGTGTGTGGATTGCAATCAGCAGATTAGCCAGCTAATGGAATCAGGCCGATGGAATGAAGTTAAGGGCTGTCCCTGAAAAGCCAGGGCTGCCAAGCTGTAACGAGGGCAATGAGCAAGGAAATACGTGAGTGAGTGGGCAAGGAGACAGCAAACCTCGACACAGCAGCTGAGAGAATCATTTGTTCACATTGAGTCACGATTTTTGATCTCGGAGGAAGGCCTTGTCGCTGAGTTATGATGGGTTTGAAAGCAGTAACTGCAGAAAATGATGGAAGTGGAAAATGTACTCTGGGGCTGGGAGGCTGCTGCTCACTGCGAGGCTGGGAATGGCTCGTTGAGGGGAAGGGATTCTGCTGGTTCCTCCCACTGGCAAGGAACTGGAGAGTTTCTCAACACTGTTTACTTGCAGCAGAATTCAAACCCCAGAGAAGAGGGCGTTAAGTCCCCCATCCCACCAGCCCTGCAGGAGTGCACCCAGCACATCGGCAGGTCCTCTGTGGTCAGCAAGAAGGTGACAGGGCTGTGGCTGGCTGGGAAAGTCGCTGCTGCCTCTGGGCCCTCTGGCTGGATCCCAGAACCACCACAGATGGTTTCAGCAGTACCCAGACAGCCATGGAACCCACTGTGTGCCCCGAACCCCGAGGCACTCCCTCTTCAGTGCCCATTTCTGTGCACTAAACCCTGTCCGGCTCTCACCTGCAGTGCCCAGTGCAGGTCCATGAGCAGCTGCTGGGGACACCTTGTTGCCCAAGCGTGTTCATGGGGAATCTCTGTGCAGATAGAGAGGGGATTGCAGCCAGGATGGCTGAGCCAGGACAGGATCCTTCTGCCTCCAGCAGCATGCATCCACTGTACCTTGTGTGTGGCTTGAAAAAGGCAGCAAAAATGCCTCTCTTGACCTCTTTGCTCCCTTACCACGAGCTGGGGTCCCTTGGAGATCAGCTGTATTCATGTATGGCTGTTATTTCTCTGCTCAGAAGAACTCTCACCTGATGGAAGGAGCACAGCTTGTCCTCAGCAGGTGTTATGGGGAAAGAGCTCTCTCACTAGGGCTGGAATAGAGGTATCCCAGAGGAGGTCATGATCCCTGTTTCTCCTGGGAGGAACTGGCTGTTCCTACCCCTGCAGTGTGTTACTCTGTGGCTGCATTTTGTGTCCCCCTCACTTGCATGATCATAGAATCATGGAATTGTTTAGCTTGCAAAAGATCTCCAAGACCACTGAGTGCAACCATTCCCCCAGCACTGCCAAGGCCACCAGAAATCCATGTCCCTTAGTGCTGCTTCCACACGGCTTTTAAATCCCTCCAGGGATGGGGACTCTGCTGCTGCCCTGGAATTAATGCTGTGGTACTTGAGGAATGACCCCCACGAGGACCATCTCCATCCCCCAGTCCTGGCTGCTGCTCCCCGCCCATATTCCCGTTCCCCTGCTCTAATCCCCCACCCAGGTGCCTGCAGGCAGATCCAGGCGCTCCCCCCGAGACCCGGCGGGCTCAGCCCCTCTCCGCGGTTCGCGGACTCCGGGCGCCCTCTAGCACCGCCGCCGGGATAAAAACCGCGGAGAGGATGCAGCGTGCCCTAAAATCAAGGAATCACAGAATCCATTAGGTTGGAAAAGCCCTCCAAGACCATCGAGTCCAACCGTTCCCCCAGCACTGCCAAAGCCACCATTAGCCCATGTCCCCAAGGGCCACATTCATATGACTTATAAAGGACTAGGGGGAATGGCTTCCCACTGACAGACGGCAGGGTTAGATTAGAAATTAGGAAGGATTAAAGCACCTGGAAGTGCCTGGCCAGATAGAGGCTGGCCATGCTGCTCACATTGTCATCTTGAAATAAAAACTAATTGCCCAAACTTACCAGTGTCTTGCTAAGAGGAAATGTCCAGCCTTCCACGGAAAACACTAACAAACAGCATCAAAACTCCAAGCTGTATCACCATCATCCTCCACATTGCTAATTGCCTGGAGCAGCGCCACTGGCTAATGGCTCAGATTGGGAATGTCACCTCAGGTGTGTCAGAGGAGGAGCACAAAGACAGCAGTTGTTGATCCTTAGACTGAGGGATCCCACCCCTGTCTCATCAGCCGCCTGCCACCAATTAGCTCTGGTGAACTCTGAGCATGCTGTGGGCACCCACCTTCATCTCCCCTGGCAAGCAGGAGCTCAGGTCCTGACACAGACAGTCCTGCTGCTCCCCAGACCCGTGGCTCACTCAGGAGGTGGATTTCCCTGTCCTCCCATGGGATCTGCCCTCGGAGCAGACCCTCAGCCGATGCTGCCCAGGAGCCAGTGCTGGTGAGCCCAGTGCCAGCAGTGAGGCTCCAGCGGGAGCTCCTTCCCAGCCCGCCCTTA